GGGGTCTTTCTATTCAGTGGAAACAAATACAAAAAGGGGCGTGGTGGGTCTGCCCAAGGGTGTTGGCGCTGATTAAGGTCCATCCAAGCGCGAAACGCGTTTTCTTTCTTCCGGTGCGTCGCGCTGCGTTGCGACATAGCGGGCGACGGCGGAGGAAAAAGAAATGTATACACCCAGCAGAAAGGCAAGAATATAAAAAGATCGACAGTAAGTGCGCCGACTCGATCCATGTCCGCGAGCAACAACCGCCCCCGACAGCTTAAACTTAACCTCCAAAACCATGCGGGCATCAAAACTCGGGTGTTCTGCACGGTTGGCTTGGGGGGCGAGACATACTCGGTACGACGAGTTTGTTGATGGGCAAAATTCAAAACATAGGTCCATTGCAAACTGCGCGGGCTGTGGCGCAGTAAAGAACCCACGAATAGGCTCGGGCAAATGCCGAACACCTTAACCTGGCTAATGGCGCCAGCGGGACAGGTGCAGGAGCCACCTGTCACCAGTCTCCATCGCGATACCACTCGTCGCGACCCCGCCGAGGCGACCTGAGAGCGTGGAGGGCGAAAACAGCAAAGGTTCAAACAAATCGCTTACCTTAGCCGGCAGCACTGAACGCCGTTCACGTCTGGGCCGAAGTCGGATACTTAAGTCCCCGAGGGTCTTGTTCACTTTGTCTTTACTGAAGATCTTGGACAGCGACTTTCGCGTCGATCCAGATTTCTTTCTAGGGGTGGGGGCCATAGTTGTCTCGATTGGACGCGTACTTGCAAAAGAGGAAACTTCTCAACTTCTCAAGAATAGTGGGAGGGTCTAACGGTTTCACTCGGATCACTTCGTACTCGGAGTCGTACTCACTTTTGAAACCTACTCAAAACTATAGTGTTACCAACAAAAGCATGACCGCGCAAGGCCAGGAACCTGTTTCTCTTACGCAACAGAGTTTTTTACTGGATAAAATTTTACTGTATGGGTATTATTACGTATTATGAAAGTAAATATTTTCATCATATCAACAAGACTTTACGTAAACTTTATTTTCTGGACACTTTTAGGGGTTGGTAGTGTAAAGTAGTCGATAGATCGACCAGTATGATCGAGAATCGAAAGAATTCGGACCCTAGCAGTAGACGCACCTGGAAAACTTAGAAAAACAGTGGATTTATTAGATTGTTTTAAATCTCTCAGTCTTTTAGGCAGAGTTTAATCGCACCATGAATTCCATCAACGCTTTAGGAAAGGCGTATAGGTCTGTACAACACCTTGTCAAGTCATTCTGAGCGTTTGTGGCACAGGTTTAATTAAAAGGGCAGTGATTCTAACCTCCACATAGCACGCTCATTTTGTTTATAAATTTTCAAAATAATGTTAATTGTTGTGCATGGTACAGGTAGAATTTGACAATTTTTCAATAATTTCTTGTGTGTAATTGTTTTAGGTCTTCAAATGCACACTATCTGCAACTGTATTGGCTTAAATTTTCCTCCTCCGCTGCTGTTGCCACAACAACTGATTCAAACATTAAAATACCTAACCGAATTCCCCGTGGACCAACTGATATCTTAAAGGTGAGTACAATATTTCCGAATTTTGCAATTTATGTTGGACGAGGATAGAGTTGCTTGCATATTATTATTCTAATCACCTCCCAGGCTCTGGAAAAAACAGTGAATTATGACCTCACAGGTCCAAGCTACAAGTTTTTCGATGACCCAAATTTGGCCCCTTATCATGACCGACAAGGAAGACTTTATTCATTGGCCAAAAATGCTGGTAAGAAGGCGGCAAGGTGGGTCAGAAATGAACACCCCGAGTTGTTTACACAAGTCATCTCTGAGCCCCCCGTAATGGTAAAGTTCTCTCAAAATTCTCACAACTTTCATGAGGTCAGTACAATTGTAGAAAATAATATGTCTTTCAAATATTTTTTCAGTCCTACATGCCGTCTACACCCATTACCGCTGAGACTGCAAGTGAAGATTTGCTCTTCCAGACAATTTGTGATGGAAAAGTCTCAGATGCCATCAAAATCTATGAATTAATGCAAGAAAAAAATGTTGGTCAGTACCATAACACTACCCTTCAATTGATTGATTTTTAGTCCTATTGTTTACCTGCATTACTTCAACTTGTGCTTTTATTTTGAAAGATGTGGCACAAGACCTCCAACTTTCGCTGCTTGAACTTCTGTGTTTCTATAATTGTGAGGATCCAATACCCATGGATAATGAAGCAGAACGTTACTATGGTCAAAAATTCAAGAAAGATCAGAATATCAACAGTTGGAAGTAAGCAAATATTACAGAAACTGGAATGTCAATCGGCTATCTTTATCAAAACTTTCACCTTCACTTTCGGGTAGAGACAGACCATAAGGGACTGTCTAAAAATTTACATTCAATAACTTGTCACTTGACTTTTTTCCAGGGACCATCCACTTGTGAAGACTTTATTTGAATCCCTCAAACCTCTTGGATCTGCCCCATACAGTGCTTTAATATGTGGATTATATGAAAATGGGGCAAAACCTGAGGGAGATAAACTGGTTGAAGAGGCTAAACAAAACAATATTACTCTGGATGTTAATGCATACAATTCTATCATAACCAGGTCAATCACTGTATATGAGAAACATGACGTGAAACGAGATACGTTGCTAGTAAGTTTTACAAATGACAGGATATTTTTATAGAACCAAGAATTACATTCCGTTCATTTCTGTTTAAGGATGTCCTGAAAGAAATGGACCTTAAAGGGGTCAAACCAAATCTTGGTACCCTGAATGCCACTATGGACGTAATCAGTCGGTTAGGATTTAGGGATAAATACAATTTTACCATTCAACTAATGGCTGAATTCAACAGACAAGGAGTAAAGCCTTCTCTGGGAACATATGCTTATGTAATTCGTGGTCTTGTAGGCAGAAACAAGCCAGATCGTAAGTATTTATGAATGCTCTTCATTTGTACATTGATTGGTGTCTGCCTCTACACTATTTCTCTTGTAACTTAGATAATTTATTCCAGCAAATTTAATTATATTCGTCTCTTCAATCCTGAAGACCCTGAAAGGTCAAACTCTTGAAGCAAAGGATGCTTCTGATTTATTATTTTTTGAGTGGGTAATGAAAGCTTGTGCTCAATGTGACAACCTATCTTGTGCCATTGAATGTTTAGAATTGTTCATGCATTCTAAAAATAGAATGCTGCTTAATGGCTTTAAAACAAATAACTTTTAGTAAGTATACTAAATTTTTTATTACCTATTATTGAAAGACGTCTTATGTAATCACAAAACTAACATATTTAACTGTTCACAAATATTTTAGCAACAATTTCTTCCAAGTTTTGACTGTGAAGGCTGATTTTGAAACTCTAGTCAAATATTACAAATTATTATGCCCGCATGCACATACAGCAAGTCCAGAGTTATATTCGGTACGATTATTTATTTAATCATTTTTTGACCGTATAAACTTTCTAAATCGCATTTCATTTGAGGTGAAAATTGGATTGAAACAAGTTAATGCTCACATTAATGCTCTTTCAGACCCTGTTTGAGGCTTGTGATTTGAACTGCGCAATAAGGGAAGTACCAGAGTTATGGAAACATTATTTGGGAACAGGATCCCTAAATGAAGAAACACTTCTGAAAATGTTTGATGTGGCTAAAAATGTTAGTGCTTTACCCGATCCAGCGGCACTTGAAATAAGACCAGTTTTGGGTGAACTATCTGAAAGCTTTTTGACCTATAAAATAAATGCAGAGAGCCAAAGAGTATTTGAAAAAGTTCCGTAAGTATCTAATGTGCTCTTTTTTTTTGTCTATGGTAGTTATTTTTCAGGTGAGTTACCAAACAGATCTTAGAATATGTTGCTGACTTACCTTAAATTTTCAGGCTTACCACTGAAATGTGCAATTCACTGCTAGTGTTGTTAGCAAGAGGGCCCCATTGGAGTGGGGTACAGACATGCCTAAAACACATGTCAGGCAAATCTATGTGGCCAGAAAAAGAAGCTCTTACACAAGTTTTAGAAAGCTGTTTTGCCAATGACAATCCCAGTATGGCTGTGGTAGGTTAATTCAATTTTTTACTTCCAAAGATGGAGGTAATATTAATAATCTTTTATTTAGTTGATAACTTTTTAAAACATTTTAAACAAATTTTCAGGCTGTAATTAAATACTGCCATTCAAATTATGGACCTAAGCTTGAACTCCAAAGTGTGGCCTCTAAGTTCTTGAAAACAGATTTTCTTGATCAAAAACTCAAGGATGAAATTAAAGAGGTATTTGATGATGACAGCAGCAGCAGCAGTGATGGTAGCAGTGAAAGTGACTCATCTGGGAGTGACTCTGATGATGACAGCAGTGAATCTGAGGATATTTCCGTCCCCAAGAAAACTAAACCAGCAGTTCCCAAGCCTGATATTACAAAAGTAACTATGAAGTAATACAATAATGTCCCTAATTTGTTATGTTTTTCATAAATTCATTTGTGTTTTCTAGCTACAAACCATATGCCTGTGATATAACACAAAGCAATAATCTTGTAAACAAACTAGTTTTCCCTTCTGAACTTAAAATGCTTGAATACAGTTTGCTTAAAACTTTATTTCACTTTTTGTAAATTTATGACCTCTCATTGTTATTATGTGTATGTACAGTAGAATATAGGTTTCCACTTCTATTACTCGTGTTTGTAGGTACTAAAATTTTTCTTACAAGATTGTGTACATGTACACAGTGGGTACCGTGAGGTACCATGGCCCTTAATAAAGACCAGCTAAAATGAAAATACTTTCTATATTCTATCCACATTACCTTAAAATGTACAGTGCTCCTTTCACACACTCTCACATGTCATAGTCAAACTTTGGCATTTCAAGAGGTGCTAGTGGGGGCAGCTCGCGAGCTTCAACAACATCAGGACTTAGTTGCCCAACAGGTGAAAGAACAAAAGGTGAAAAATTACCACCAGTAGAATCGGTGATCACTTGCAATCCAACTGAGGTTCCATTTGCAGTGTGGGGTTGGATATTTCTTTCAGGATCATTTTGTAATCCAACTGCTGCACCATTTAGACAATTTGATTGAGCATTCCTCACAAGTTCATTTTCAAGTTCCGTTATTCTTCCTCGTAATGCTTTGTTTTCACGTTCACTTTCATCGAGCTGTATGATGAGAGCTTTGATCAGGTCTCGAAGCTGATGATTTAAAGTGTGCAACTCTTCAATCACAACACGGTCCTCTTTTGGGTGTTTACTACCAAGAGGATTAGATATAGGAGTTGGATCTTGGCCCTGGCTAGTTGTGTCCGGGTTAGCTGGACTATCAACTTCATCAGTGCCGGTTCCACCCAGGAGTTCAACAAACAATGAATCTGCTTCCTGCATGGTTCTGTAACAAAATAGTATTTAGCTATATCTTATAGGAACGGCAGTGGTAACATAATAGACAGAAGGAATATTATGCTGACGTACTGATATATCGCAATTTGAAGACTTTTTGGTTCTTGTCCTTTTTGGTCTTCACTAAGTATTTTTTCCCTCAGATGGGCCATGATTCTCCTTTTATTTTCTAAAGCTTTCCTTACAAGAGAAAATTGAGTCTTTTTAAGTCTATAAGTTAAAAAGTAAAGTTTTTGTTAGAGTCCCTCTACAGTTAACAATGTTTATGCAAAATATAAATAGATAATTCTGGAAATTGATCTCACTCAACAATATGCAGCTGCCTAAGATGAAACTCTCTCTGCAAAGTAAGTGATTCAAGGGCTCGGGGAATGGATGTAATTGTCATAGCATTTTCAATGTACTTGGCTGCAAGCTCGTGACATTTAACAGCTTCATCAAATCTACGAAACTTTAAGTGTTGTTCTGCTCGTCTATCTTCTCGGTGGGCCTGAAATAGAGTTCATTCCTGAATTACTGATGAGTATATTAACATTAACATTTCATAGATTTAGAAACAAAAATTTAACATCTCTTTTGTTCAAAACACTATTTTTCAAACTTATCAAAAAACTCCTTTCAACTTTCAGAAATCCACTAATATCAGCTGGAAAAATGTAAGACTAAAGATAAGTAGGTTAAGTTTGCAGATTGTCAAAATCTCAATACTCACAAGATTCAAAGGAGAATCCTCCATTCCGACTCATAATACAAAACAGGAGACATATGTGGCACGTCCTCGGCCAGATCAACAAAAAAGGAAAACGACTTCAAAAATCATTTCGCTTGACAGTTACTAGAGTAAAAAGAAAATCGGCAAGCGAAACCAGGGAAGTGACAGGAACAGACAGCACAATAGACAATAGAGAAGCCAAAAAAAGCAGACATAACATGCGCTGCGGATACTGTCACAATAAATCATTATTCGCACCAACCACCTGGGGGAACCAACCAAAACAGCGATGGCTGCGCCCATGTCTGGCATTTTGATACAGACCCTTCGAAATATCTACAGATATTTAGGAGACGATGACATAGTTATTGACGACAATGCCGTATTTCAAGAGCCACGGATGTCCCGTCATAATCCTACGACCTGTGATTTATGTTTTCCGATCATTCGTCATAGGGGTTATGATGTCAGTGTCTCAGCTGTACTCTTGTTCCCAGAATACAAGAATTTCAAAATGAAAATTGACATTGAGAAAGTAATGCTCTCCAATGTTGTTTTTGATATGATCTAAATGAAGCATTTTTTTTCTAGTTGAAACACATATTTAATATTTACAGGTTCAGAGAGAGCTACCGGACAAAAGCAAATCATGGATAGTTCCGATAAAACTTTGCACATCGTCTCCAAATTCTCTCTGTGTTGTACTTGACCACACGAAAGCATTTCAGGTCACAATCAATCAAATACTAGCAAAGGAAACATTCTTAGAAATAGCAAATCTGAATAAGGTAATCGCATACTTTAGGAAATGAAAAAACTCATTTTGTTGCTTTGAAATTCTTATCCTGACTTTTTTTATTAAGACTGTTTTTCTCAGCAAAGATTCTGGTCTTGAGACACTACAATGTGCTGATCTTACAAAATTGAGAACTGTTCTTGCATTTCAAAGCCTTAGAAATGTATTTTTGTATCTTGGATATACTGTTGAGGTGAGTAAAAGAAAAATTATTGTCCTTAAAAAATTAGTCAATTGTTCTAGCATTGTTGCTTACCATTCATTATTCATTACAATTTTCACAGATTAATGGTCATAGAAATGGAGATTATATAGCAGAAGATGTGAAGAAATTTCATATTTGCCATAAATCAATGTGTTCTGAGAAACAGCCTGACTATTGCCTCATTCAATGTGGTGCGGTTCTTGACAAGACAACTGGCGCTAAAGCCAGCAATATCTGTCCGGATGATTACTACAGGTATAATTAATTAGCATTTTAGAAACATTTACTTATTTCACATTCATGTGAATATATTACTCAATTTTTTTTTAAATCAGGAACAAAACTGCTGCTTTTGAAAAGTTGGCTGAAGGAAGGGGAAACTCTGTTAAAAATAACCATCAAGAGAAGACTCTTTCAGAGGCTGAGGTGGTAGCAGAACTGTTATGGGTAAAATTGCATGATAATGTATCCATCAGCATATCTCAGGAAAGTGAGGAAACAACAGGAGGTACACAATCTTACTACCGTGATTTTACTAGTTTATGCAATTCAAAACAAAGATAATAAATCCCTGTCCTTATTTTGTCTGAAGTGGCTCGTGGTGCTACATTTTTACTCTATAATCATGTAAGGCTTACGTGTATCAGAAAAAAGTTTTGTCAGGAAGTGGACCTAGGAAACTATGAGAGGCTACCTGGGATTGAACATGTTGATTTTCAACTACTCTCTCAAAATGTAAAAGCTTTTGTTTATTCTCACAAACTTGTAAAACTCTTAATCTTTAGCTCTCTTTCTGACTTTCTGATTTTATTTTGTAGGAAGAGTGGGATCTATTGCTTTTGGTTCTTCAGTTTCCATCCTGGCTCATACAGTGTGTAAGTCCTAAAGGAAAAGTCAGTTTACATCCATTGCTTGTGGGACTGGATAAGATATGTCGAACTTTCAGCGTGTATTATAGAAGAGTGCGAGTTCTTACTGTAAGTCAGCCTACTTTCTGTGTGATATATGAATTATGACAAAAACAAATAGTTAACTAAAACTCAATGTATTTTTACTCGTTCTTTACCACCACCTGCACCTACTCAGTGGTAGAAGAACGAGTATTGATCTCAGTGCGATGTCACGCGTAACGCTATTCATGCTCGCAGTACAGAATATGTACACTTATGATACTTGTACCATTCGAAACTGGGAATGTTGTAGGCGTGACCAACAATGGACCTTTTTTCAAGTTTGACACTACTTTTTTGAGAACTCTTAACAAAATTCGCCGGTTTTCGTTCTAAGTCGATAGACCCGTGCCGCACAACGAATCTTCATCTTGGAACACGAAGCGCATACAGACATGACAATACTACCATTCGAAACTTCGTTTGCTAGTATTACTGGAAGCAATGAAGATTGTTTCGGTCTAATAGCAAAATTTTGAGAACTCTTAACAGATTTCACAAGTTTTCAGTCTAAGTCCCGTCTGCCGATATTGCTTCTGCTATTGTGCCGCCAACTGTAGATTCATATTCATTTTGGTTTTCACGGAACGCGCATCTTTTTGAAAGCGCCGACTTTTGCAACAATGCTCTTGTCTTGTGACCTGAAGGGAATACCCAGAATAGCGCCTGTTTTAGCCTTCTTTTTAATTTCGTCATCATCCAGTTTCATATGGTACATGTTTAATAATAATATATATTCTCAGAGAAACGTGACACATGTTGACAGAACAACACTCGTTGATTCACCATATAGATGTAAAGCAACTGAGCACTGAAAGGGTCTCTGTAAAGAACGAGTACCAGTATTCACACAAAATTAATTTTGTGTTTTTTTTCCTCCTTGTTTTATTTTTTTTCAGGAATCTCGTCCACAGCTTTTGCCTGTAATGCATGCAAGATTGTACCTTCTGCAATGTGTTGAACATGTTTTAGGGCTTGGACTGTCTTTATTTGATATGAAGCCCTTGGATTACATGTAAAATTGAATGTTGATCTTCATTAAAGATTTTCTTTATTTTACTTAGAAAAATTTGGTTTATTTGCTGACTAGATTAATCAGCAAACTTTTTATTACCATATCTGTTTAAAACTTGCCGCAATCATTGATTTTGATTAGAGTCTTGGATTAGAATTGGCGGTCACGAATCGCGGTCACAGCCATGTGGATTTGGGCTCTGTCTCAAGTTCTTCCACAGCCACTCACCACTGGCATTGGCCGACACAGTCTATCCGTGCGACCTGGTCTCTTTCTGAAACCTCCGTCGCATCCTGGAGGGGCCCTGGTCGAGGCCCGCCTTGATGAGGTCGGCGCGCTCCCTGGGCTGCCAGAACACGTCGGAGGGCCGCGGGGTAGGGTCTCGCTGCACGGCCTTGGGGGGCGGCAGCAGCAGCGGCGCCATCCCGGAGGCCTCGGCCTGCAGGGGCTCAGCGCGCGCCCGACCCCCCTCGACGGGCCTCTCCTCCAGGTGGAAGCCGCGGGGCCCCGCCGCGGGGCCGGCCACGTACTTGACGCGCACCAGGTCGCCGTGGGCGTCGACGTACACGAAGGAGCCGGTGCGGGAGCCGTCGGGCAGCAGGCGCTCCTGGGGCCCGAGGGTCTCGTCCGCCCCGAGCTCGTCTAGATCCGGGGTGGCGAGGGTCGGCCTCGCCAGCCCGGATGAGTCATTTGAAGAGGTGCCAGGTGGCGGCAGACTGATCGGGTCCTCGCCGTCCGCCAGTTTGTCCCTTCCAGATCGCTCCGATAAAGGTGCAGCCATGCTCTCCGGAAAAATCAGCGTCAGAGCTACGGCCAAGCACGCGCTCGCCCACATCCACCAGCTCCCCTAAAAATACGAGCACTTCATCAGCTTGAAATCTCTCTATTTCAGTCGAGTTGTCTTGGGCAAGGGAGCGATAATTGTATCTCACCGTACTCACCTCAATTCGCATTCTGTCGATGGGTGGGCGCGGACCCTTTTCACACCTGTTCGGACCCACCTCTCTGCTGCGTCTCCATCAGAATGTCCTGTGCCGCACTTTATCCACCCCTTTTCACAAATGCGACTTCAATAATGCCTGCTCCTCGGCCGCTTAAATGATGAGGAGCACGACGACGGTGATGATGATGACGACGGTGCCGTCACAATGGCGCGCGCCCCTGCCTCATTACCATGTGCCCCTCGTCCTCGTGGTCCCTGCAGACTCTGGAGGGTCCGGCGGAGGGCTCCGGCTCCACGGGCTCCACTCGGCGCTAATGGCTGCGGCCCGGGCGCGGCTCCCCTCCGCCTTTATACGAATAAATTGGTTGCAAAACGAGCTCATTGCGAAGGGGAATGCAACGCGTTTGGAGCCGGTGCACTTTTTTTGTGTGCGCGGGCCGAGTCTCTGGCTAGTGGCCGGGCGCCGCGTTGCTCAGGTTGGCAGCGCTGCCCCGCTGCCCGCTTCACCCACCCACCCGCGCCACCGGCCGTCGTTCGTTGCTATACCTGCAGGAGCAACAAGAACGATCGCGCCGTTGCCCCGACGCCGGCGGCGCTGCGGCGCGCGACGCCCATCTCCATGGCGACCGAGTTGACAAACACTGCCCCGACCGGCGCTCGGCGGGGTGCGGGTGGTGCGGGCGGGCCAGTAGTGCAACTCGAGTGCGACGAGGCCTCACCGCCGCCGGCGCCACCGCGCGAAGAGAGTCGCGTCATCGCGCGGGTATTGCGCCATCCTGCGGCCGCGAGGCCAAGTAGTGCGGGAGCGTCGCCGAGCGTCGCCGACATGGCGTGCGCGTGTCCGGAGTGTCCGGAGGCCGCCGCCGCCCGCGCCAGCCTCGCCGGCCTCGCCCCCGAGAGGTAGGCCGTACCGCCGCGCTCGGATGCACGGCGGCCAGCGGGGGTTGCCTACCCCGCCGGGCGCTTCACCCGCGAGACATGTCCGGTATCATCTTCGAGGAGGACGAGGACGACGGCGTGGCCGAGCTCGAGAGGATCATCGAGGAGTCCGGCGAGGACGAGGAGGAGGATGAGGTGGAGGAGGACGTGGAGGAAGGTGTGGAGGACGACGGCGGCGGCGAGGAGGAGGAGGAGGATGCAGGGGTGACGCGGCTGCCCCGCCCTCAGACCGCCGTCCCCTTCTCACTCGCCGGCCGGCGGAGGAGCATCCATTGGAAGTGAGTGTGGCTGACCTGACGGGACCTGCGGCATGAGGTCTGAGCCGGCAGGAGTGAACGACGTTCCGTATCGTTACAGCGACGAGACCCAGGTGCTGTCCTCCTCCAACGCCACCAGCTCGCCGGCCAGCTCCAGAGCGAGCTCCCCCGGCCGCTCGCGGGACGCGTCACCCCGCGGCTCCCCCGCGCCGGGCTCTCCCGCCCGCTCCCGCCCGTCCTCTGCCACCGCCGCCGCCAACAACACCCCCGCCCCCGCGCTGTCGGCCGTCTCCAGCTTCAGGCGGAGCCTCAAGCTCCTGGGGCTGCAGCCCAGGGAGCTCGGGCTGCCGGAACAGCCGTCGCCGTGTCCGCAGGGCGGCCTGCACGCCGGCCGGCAGGGCGACAGGAGGAGCAGGTGGGTGGACGAATTTTAAAGTCGTCCGAAATTTTTCTGGAAAAATTCAAAACTTGTCCAGACAAAATAGAAAACAGAAAACATTGGAATATTTCCCCCAAATTTGGAAAAAAAATCGTAAGACTTTTCAGGAAAAAAATTATCTAGGGATCAAAAACCAAATTCTTAAAAAATTGACCAAAAAATCCCAAGATGGGTGAGATGAGATGCCTGGCGTGTGGCCAGCTGCGTGCGGCCTGCGCGACGGGCGCATGCCCGGGGAACCTCATCGAGATTGTGTCCTCAGGTCGCCAGGCCCCACGTTCACCACGAGACTCCGGTCGCGCAGCGTCTCCCTGGACGACCTGCGCGCGGCCGCGCAGCAGCAGGGCGCCCTCACTCCGGACAAAGGTGAGAGCCGGGGCCGAGAACAGCAGGTGGTATGGTCGGTATGGGCGGGCTGCTGATGCCTCGGCTGCTCGTTGTTCCATTCCAGACGGCGGCGTGTACCGGATGATCTCGAGCGCCGTATACGAGGAGTGGTACTTCCGCAAGGAGCAGGAGCTGATCGAGCGCCGGCGCCGCGAGCAGGAGCAGGAGAGGAGGAACTTGGAGGAGATGGAAAAGGTGAGTTCATACGGAGGAAAGAAAACAAAACTATGTTGCACTTTCTCAACATCGCTCGTTTGACATATCGCAGAGGAAAGCCGAGATGCAGAGGAAGTCACAGGACAAGTTCCAGGAGTGGCTTAGGCAGAAGACACGCCAGCTAAAGACGAAAGGCAAAGACAGGTGAGCGGATCGGTCGCACCAACAACACGTTACTGGACGCGCTCTGGTGCTGGGGAGCGGGGGTTGCGCAGCGGGGGTGCGGGGGTGACTCACCCAAGCCTGGGGTCATGAGAGAAGGGCGCCCTGGAGTCCCAGCTTTTCCGCCGTAAGAACCCGCCTGACGGACTTTGACATCACCCTGACGCCGCTGTATTGGTCGAAGACCATTTCCGAGGTCAGTGTCGGATTCAGCACGTTTAGACGAAGAGGAAGATGTGCTGTATGATACTGTTTGAAAACCTGGAAGCCGGCCTGAGCACTTGAAACCTACTACGA